ACTCAGGTAAGGGCTCTGGTCACTTCAACACATCATCATGTAATGTGTCAATATCACAAGTGTTCACTCAACATCGAAGCTCAACAAACTTTTGTTGTAGGTTGATGCTTACTTTGAGCCTAACAGTAACTTGTTTTTACCTATCCTTCAGGATGCACAGGAGACTCCTGCCAAGAAAACTATGATTCCAACAGCATTTTCTCAGGCTCAGCAGCTTGCTGAAAAGGTATGTTACTTATTAGTGATGTGTGATATTGTTCAACAGTACAAACTATTTCCTTTGTATTTAGAGTTGTCCTGCAATCTTCTATGTCTAGGATGGACATCAATAACTTCGTATAAGTTGTCATATCTAAGTAAACTTCAATGCATATTTACATGTAAAGAAATAATGATGTCAGCTTTTGACCTCTGTTCCCTGCAGGAAAATGTGACGCTACACAACGTGGAAACTTCTCCGATAGCCTTGTGAAAGAGACAGTCGTCCTTGTAGATTTTGCTACTACTAATACATGTACTACATGTTTATGTACAACACATTTATATCATTTACTGAGATTTCTGTCAGACAAATGTGTCAGACAAAAATTATTAGCAACAGTCAAATAACTTCACATAACTTTGTTGCCTAAATCCAAAAGATGCCAAAGTTTCATCTGCCAGTATGATTGAGAAGTAATGGTTATCATTAATTTACACATATCAGAACATATGTATTTTCCAATAGCTAATAATAGTAAGTTTGAAATGTTTCACATGCATGCACTGCCTCAATGTCTTATAAAAACAAGAAGCACTCAGTCACTATTTCAAGATAGAGTTTTTGCATTTGATACCAACTAAGACTTGTATACAGGAGGTTGTTGTCTTATCTACCTTTTTAATAAGCCTTGAAGTTCATTTATCTGTATTTGTGGCTGGACAATTGAAGAAACTCATTAAGAGATGTTGATTGGTTCATCCAAGTCATTTGGAAGAACGTTACTTGAATTAGGAGCTGAATTGTTTTGTTTGTATCTTTCTTTGGATTTGGCAGCTGAACCTGATTCAAGGGATTTCTACTTGTGCAATAAGTGAACATCCTTCTAAATAACATGACATAGAGATTAAGGCTTTTCCAACTATCAACAGCATAAGTTAACAAAGCTTCGGTTTAATTCAGTTGCAAAAAGATTTCTCTGTACTCTGCAAAGAAACCTCAGATATACTCAAGTACATGGTGAAATTTATTCTACCTTTAGAAAAACTAGACAGTTGCTTTCATCACATAGATAAGAATACTTTTCATCACATGCATCCTTTTTTTAATTTGATCACCTTTTTAAAAGGAGATGATTAAGCAGGAAACTCGAAAATTTCTGTTACATTGATAGAATCTGTTGTATATTTCATGCAGTCATTATTTTACTGTAGGCTTTTGGAATATGCTTATTCCACCACATATATGCATGTGCATGCAAATAGAATTTAGTTTGCAACATTCTACTATACTAGTATATAAATGCTGATAGTCTAAGACATTGTTTTGATGGCCATTGGTGGTAGGGACTATAGATTACTTTTTCAATCTGTTGGTATTTGAAGTTTTAATTATCAGTTTAAAGAAACCGTTAGCCCAGCAGTGTGTATACTGCAACTCATTTGTAACATTATTACTTTGTATTATTATTATTAATTCCTTTCTTGTAAATTTGTATCATATTAACCATCATTTTGTAATATTTAAATTCCAATACTATTATTGTTTAACCTGATTTGATGTATTATACCAATACTACCTTGTTGCACTGCTGTTTTCAGTCAGTTTGACAAGCTTGTATCTAAGTTGTGTAAGAAAATGTGGTCATAACCTGAACAATCAGTCTCGTTTTTGTTTACCCTTCATTTGTCATAGACACATACCGCATATGCAGGTAAGAAGAACCAAGGACATTATGCATTCAATTAGATAACTAGGAGAATGATAACATTTATATTTAATCCAGCAGATTAGATGAGCTCATACAAGTTCCCTTATTATTAGGAGAAAACTGATGGTATTCTTGTGACAAATGTCAGAAAGCAAGTCATGTGACCTCTTACCCCGAAATACAGAATTGTTTAAACCACACTGCGAACACCTTTCCCTCCTACCGTGAAATAAAAAAAAACGCGAAAGTACATGCGTTTACAGTAACTGGACTTAGTGTGGCTTTCTGATGGCGTTGATTTGCATGCCGCTGAAGGATTGTAAACACAGACATCAACTGAGTGTATTTGTCTGGCAGAGGTCGCGCCGAACTTTGTACGTTGTATCGTCCTAGAGTTGTTTTGTTCTAAAGGCTAACTCCACGTCTTTTATACGTGTACCATGAGGACGTTTGTTGTTTCCGTTGTCCTCGTTCCCTTGCTGGTTTTCCTCCCCGCTGCCTTCGGAGATGCTCCCGAGGCTGCTCAGCGCCGTCTGGCCGTCCTGAAGACCCGGATCCCGGCTCACATGGGCCCGGTGAGGTATAACTACACCGCCGCCTTCAGGACCGCTCCTAACGGTACCCTCCAGTTCAGCCTCGGCATCTTCGGGCCTCTGTCCTCAGGTGGCCCGGCCCTCCACCCGCCGCTCCGGCTTCGCTGGGAGGAGTTTGAGGACTTCGGCAGCCCGGCCGGCCGGGAGATCGTGTCCAACCCCTCCGTGGTGTACGCGCCCGGTAACGCCCTGCAGGTGTTCGTGCAGTGCGCGGACGGACAGGTGTATTATCGGATTCAGAATGAAACCTGGGGGCGGGACTTCGAACGGTGGGCACCCCTCCCGGCCGGGACTTTACCCACAGACACAGGCGTGAATCTCACAGGAAGGGACTCGGTGACTGCTGTCGCGTGGTAAGTGGTATCGTGATGATTTGATATTCTGGTGTCCCATGTCCTGAAACAATCATTGGCTTTGCCACAGTACTTGATGCATCAAAGTTCAGCGTTTGAGTATACGCACACGCCACTTTATATCTCACGAACTTTTAAAAAGTTGAACTTTGAGTTTGCCCGTTTGGGACAAATAGAGACCTGTTTGATCACACTGCAGATTGGTATCTAGAAACACTTTTGGGGTAAATGACAACACGTTTGTTTTAAAATCGAGTGTGACCCTTGCTTTTGCAATTACAATGCGCTACAAGGTTTATGTATGACTTGAAAGACATTATTACGCACAAAACGTAAGATAATTCGTTCTTTATGAAATCCATTGAGTGATATGTCAACTTTGGTCGCTCACTGGTTGCAGCCTCTAGTAGAAAGTTAAAGGGGGCGTTACTCTAATTGTCTTGGTTACATTGCCTTTATCAGGGAAGGTAAAACCGTGGTGTTCGCCCGCTCCATGACCGCGACGTCCGGCCTGTACTGGACCTACAGCGGGCCCGACGGTTTCCAGGTGTGGCAGAGCCTGGGAGGCGACCTGGTGACCGACCCGTCCATCGTGTACAACACCTACACCAAGTACCTGGAGGCCTACGCCATCTTCCCTGATGGGAAGGTTCACTACCAGACACAGGTCCACAGCACGGAGTGGCAGACATGGCGCGTACTGGGTAAGGATCCGGTCACGTAGGTCGCGCGATTGTTGTACGATCGCAAACTTAGGGTATTCTTGGGATAGATGTGCAGGTAATAGGTGTACAAAATTCAGTTGTCTTGGTCCTCATTCCTCGTCCGTGGTTAGTTTTACCATAGCCTGCTTGAAAATCCTAGGGTTCAAATTTGTACTCTGACGTCGACCTACGACAAATGTGACGTCACCGTAAGTTAGCAGAGGGCAATCAAAAGAGATAGATTATGTACAGTTTACATTCTTCATGTATGTCATTAGTTCAACTATCTGTCAAATATTTGGTCGCTTAGCATTATTAGTCTCTAATGTGAAAAGGGAGTGTTAGGCTTTATAGGGAGGCTGCCATAACCAACATTTTCTACACTAAACAAGTAGGGTTGGTGGCTACTCTGTCGTCTCTGTATCTGTATAGCCGGTATAACCGCCTTTCGGCGTAACACACCGCCTTTCGGCGTAACACACCGTCGTACATGAACCTCCGTAAACATAGTTAATTTTGAATCATCCTCTCCAGGCACATTTGCACCAGCTATGCAGAAACTGTCCCGCCCACAGGCCCACAGCATGAGTCAAGCTATCTTCAACGGCATGACGGAGGTCTTCGCTGTCGGGACGGACGGCCGCCTGAAGCACATCAAACAGGTCTGCTGGTCTTGAAAACAATAACAATACTTCCAGTATGGGCTGAGTTGTGTGTTTGTGTCTTTGTCCAAATTGCTTCGGTGCATGTTGAGTGGAAAGTGGTTTTAAAACCATGCACTCATCGGGTGGTATTTAACATGAGGGATCCAGGAGGTAGTGTAATACCCGGTTTAATTAACATTATTAACAATATATATAATCCCTTCCATATTTCCAATACATTCAACAAAACCCAAAACACTTCCCAGAGGTATGTGAACTTGCAGGTCACGAAAACCCAAAATATTTCCCGGAAGTCTGAAATCTTCGATATCTGTATTGTGTTGCGTTGTGTCGTTTTGTCCTCGAAAACATTTCAACATTTGTATACACGAGAACAAACCTCAGAACCAATCGACTAACACGTTTTTTCTGCCCCCAGACGACATGTGATAAGGTGGTGAGTCCGTGGGGTTACTGCACCTGGGCTGTTTGGTCAAACGTCGGGACCGGACAGATCCCAACACCGCTCAGTGACGTCAACCCACTGACTGCCGGGAACAACGTCCATCTCGGGAACGAGATCTTTGTCGTGCCCAAAGATGGCAGGTATGCCTTTTTTTTACAGAGATTGAGCTTCATCATGCTAATAAGGCTGCCGCTTGGGACCAAATTTATGTTGATTATCATCTTATGGGGCTCAACGAAGTGAATGGAAAGTCTGTGAATGTGACCCACGACAGACCGTATAAACATTTGGTAGACGTCATTTGACTCGGAAAAAAATCAAATGAGGTCTTGGTGTTGCTCCCACTTAGACAGCAACAAATATCAATCTGATTTAATCACTGGTCCCGACCAAAAAGGTTTTAACCTCTTGTTCGAGACCGCTAATCTCCAAGCAGATTTTCTGGTGGCAAAATCCAACAGGCAAGACACTATGCCCCCAGATAGTGCCCAGTTAGATAGTGCCTTCCCTATTGGTCTTGCCGTTTGGTTACGACTTCGCCACCGAAAGATCTGCTTGGAGGCTAGTCATGTCCTCGTCCTCCGCAGTCTGTCCCACGTGTGGCAGTCCGAGCGGGGCGGCCGGTGGCAGGGCTGGGAGACGGTGGGACGGCCTGCCAACGGGACAGCCGCTTCTCTTCCCACAATCCACCAGGATGAGGAGTACGGTGGCTGGTGGGAAGTGTTCGTCATCAACTCTAATGACAAGGTAGGGGCAAATCTTCAATGAGTATTTGTTAAGATTGACTACTGGTAGGGACGATGATGCCAGCTTACCAAAAAAAAATCTGGCAAAATAGAAAGCTCGAGAATACGCCAAAACGCTCACAAAATAAGCTTAACTTCTGCTTCTAGAGTAACGATTGACAAAGCAAGTATGTTTTGTAAATTGAATATCATCCTGACGCCTTCACCCAAAACTGTTTAACTTTGTTTGACAGGTTGATGAAGTGTTGCAAAACAAGACGTTGGATTTGTCTCCGCTGAACATGAAGTCAGGCTCCGCTCTGACAGTGAGCTGGATGGTCCCGCCCGATCAGGCCACTGCGGATGACTGGATCGGGATCTACCAGGCAGGTGCTGATGACGACACTTACCTGGACTACAGGTCTGTAACTATGTTTACCCGTAAAACTCTGTGAGCGCCAATTGCATGGGAATTATTTTTTGGGAGACCAAACTGTGGATTTGTGTATCTGTTTGTCCGGACAAAGTAGGTTGACAGAACGTGGGCGGGGAAAGATTGATAGGCCAAAAGGTCAGACGAGTGAAACGGGGTTAATTTAAGAGTAGATCCTCGGCACGTGGGTAGGGAAGAATGTCAGGCATAATGGCAGGAGATCAAAAGGTCATGCACAGGAAATGGGGTGAACTTGAGGGTAACAAAATTTTTTCCGGAAGTCTTAAAACTTCGATTTCTTGTTCCTTGAGTATCTCATTGTTCCGTCTCAAACGACGACCTGTTCTCAGATACGTCCAGGGCAAGCTGCACCCGACCCGCGAAATCGTCCCCAAGGGCTCTGTGAACATGACACTGAACCTGCCGGAGGGGAACTACCAAGCTCGATATCTGGTGAACAAGAAGTTTGTCAGCGTCCTGTCGACGGGTAAGTTTGGTACAAAAGTTACTCTACTCTCCAAGCAAGATGAAGATATGCTTTCTAACATTAGGAACAAATGTTGATTCTGCACCGGCTATCAGAAAACAGTATGAAGAAGACGGCCACTATCTTCCCAATCAACCCTGCTTCTAAAGTATGGATGAACCAGAAACAAACATGTGAGGTCGCTGCAGGTCATCAACAAATCATGTCATTCTATTCCTCACTCGATTTTGTTTCTGTAAACTGTCTTGTGCAATGTGTTATCTCTGCAAACGCCAATTGTAAATTGCTCAAATTCCTCAAATCTTTCTGGACCGTCTCACTCTTCCACCTATGAAGCTGTGAATGTACAGAGCTTTGTAGTCTAACTTCTGAAGGAATTGCTGAAAGTTCAGTCAATCAACTAGAGCTTCGAATATTCATCGTGTAAGACCTATTTTGCCATTCTATCAATATCTATTTCTCAACACACCACGTGTTTACGTGTGTAGATTTTGGCATCAGCAACAGTCCAAACGGTAATCAGTGGGAACAGACGTACCGAGGCTTCGCTGTCGGACTGGGTACGGACCAGGACAGGTTCATCAAGTGCGCGGATGATGGAGAACAAACCATCCACAAGCTAGAAGACGCTTGGCAAGCTTTCGAACAGGGCGAGGTATGACCTTGTTGTCTCTTTTTCACTTGATGTTCTGTAGAAAAGGATAAGATTGGTCGTCATATACGTGCATGGCTTCACTCTACATCTTTCCTTCCCCGTTTCTGTTTTCTTCTCCCCACCATCTTTCAGATAACAGAGGGGCTACAGTTGTTTGGCCAGGCACTGAAGGACCTGCACGCAGCCTTGGTTCAGAGTGGCGAGACTCAACTGGCACAGGCAGTGCTGCTGTTCATCGAGGATCTGTTAGAGTGCGCCTTGTCAAGGTGTGGTGAAATTTCATAGTTTTTTTATGTCCTTGGATTTATCAAACTTTATAAACAAATATAAATCCAGGACTGCCCAACTAGCCGGAGGCTATTAGAAAGGATTAGACCTCATAACAGGATAATAAACAATTAGGATTCCTCAGTTAGCACTGTCGGTTACAAGGAACAAGAACATTGCAGCTAAACGGCGCGGTCACATTTGTCGCAGGTCGTAGTGCGAATACGATTTTGGTATCGTTGGATTTTCAAGCAGGCTTTGGCAGAACCAGCCGCCGACATCATTTTCGGTAACAAGACAAGACTTTCCGTAACAGAGTTAGAACGACTTTTAAAAAGATGCCAACTTTATCTTTTTGATATATTTTATCTGCCCTTATGCCTAGGTCACATTTCCAAATCGGGGCCCGGTCGGGCCGTTTGTATGAACGAAAAACTAACAATTCATATCAAGAATATACAGGAATAGTGTCCATGATTACTATCAAAAAATGTCTGTGTTTTATTGTCTTTTATATCATACTTTTCGTTCCATAAGACTGCCCGGCCGTAAGACTGCCCGGCCCGGTTTGGAAATGTGACCTCAGCATTACCTCTTCCCTCATGACCTCCATGAAAAGCCGCCTGCATGCCAGATTTGAACTTCTCATGAATAATCGATGGTTCAAACAAACCAGCCATTCCCATCTAGCCCGCATGCCAAAAATGTATTTCTTATCGTCTTACTTTCTTTTATCTTGGATTCTTAAATTAGGTTGTTGTGAATTGCCCAATGATCCCAAGACTGCGGGTACACGTGGTTCCTTAGAATATATCGAGCTTTGTAAAACTGTCAAAAGACATGAATGGGTCCAGAACTCCCGGAGGTATGATACCTCCAAAGGCATGTCATTAAGACAACTTAATATACGTACAGGGGCTATTAATTATAAGCTGCGGCTCATTTGTTAGAATATCTTGTTATAAGGCTTCACGTGCACAGTTATTGTCGAAAAAAAACCGAAAGACACTAATGACCGCCTACACGTCCTGTCAAAAAACTTAATTACTGGAAAGCCTCGTGGCCTTTTCCGCATTTGACGCCTTAATCAGTCGTTTTAACCCTATGTAGCCCCGCCACGTGCGTTTGTATATCATCTCAGAGTGTTTGAATGAAAGCTCATCTGTGATGGTAGAATCCATAGTTACAAAGTTTAACACGAAAGGAAAGTTCGTGTTGGAACTAAGGCTTAAACTTTGTAATTACCCCTGAGTGTTGTTCACGTAGGACATGTAGGAAGGCTCTGTGAAATCGGAGAAAAGACGGCTGATGTTACAAATTGTATACATTGTTAAATATAACGTCCTCTGTATTTGTTGATCCCCAGGACAATTTGTATGATTGTTGACGCAGTCTATTTCAAGCCTCGGACGTCAGTATAATGTCCTTGGTATTTGCTGATTGCAAGGGCCTAGGGACGTAGTGCGCCATCACTAAGGTCTGCCCTGATACATTCGTCGTGCGATCGCAAACTTCAGACATTCTTGTGATAGCTGTGCATATGTTGTACAAAATTCAACTGTCTTCTTAGGGAAACGGCTCTCTTGAATCAATTCAATTCATTCTTAAGTTCAGGCACAGGGCCCGTATCAATACATGCATTAAAAATACAGGTACACAAGCATAAGATTAAATACATAATACAGATATGTACAGTAAATTGAAATGCAATGGTGACGAAATTTAATGTGGGGGCTGTTAAGATACCAGGTTGACATAGTGCTTCCAGAAGTTGCTGAGAGAGAATAAATCAGAATGAATTACAAGTTTTATGAAACCATTATTTGAGCTGAGGAGGCGTGTGGCAAAAGTGTGGGTTAGTATAATGACCGGTTACTATAATGACCGGTTAGTATAACTATAGTATACTATAGTTATATGTAGTTATAGTTATATGTAATACTATACTAAACTATACTATACTATAGTTACATGTGGCTTAGTATAATGACCGGTTAGTGTGGGTTGTTGACGCAGTCTCTTTCAAGCCACGGACGTCAATATAATGTCCTTGGTATTTGCTGATTGCAAGGGCCTAGGGAAGTAGTGGGCGTCATCACTAAGGTCCGGCCCTGATACATTCGTATCAGTACTATATAACTATACTATATAACTATAGTTTTATAGTTTAGTATAGTATTCTCCTGTGAGCTTCAAAAGTGTCAACTGCAGCTGTTACAAACACATGGCTAGCACCTTGTCCTTGTCAGTTGTAATTGCTTCTGTTACAGCCTGCTTGGAATTCTACAACGCCGAAATCACACAACAGCCCGCGACGACAGTGAGACCTCCACCTCCAACTTCCGTAACGACTCAGCCGTAATTGGTTGAAAGTAAAGCGGCCACTCACGCGTCCTGCCCCATGCATACCATGGTTGAAAAGCACAGGCTTTAGCAATCATATAAAGTTTGGTCATACCTGCGGGAAATGAAAACTTATCAAGGTGTTGTTGTTGTTGTTGTTTTGTAACAGGTGTGCACATTTCATCATAGACACGGCAGAGGAGTTGGAGATTTGGTACAAGGGCTCACACGAGATCTACCGAGACATCCGGGCCGCACAGAACAGCCTGGGCGCCCTGAAGGCGTACGTGCAGGGCGGGCACGTGGTGGGGAGGGCGGTGCGGACCTGCGTTAACCTCCAGGACACCAGAGCATGAGACATTATATCCTGATAGGATAGCGCTTACGTGATACGTGACCCGATGTGCATAAAATGTCCAAATTAGGGAAGAACTAGGATGGATTGTAGTGAAGGTTGCAAAAGGGTCGGAAAAATTACATTTGTATTATGGCTACGAAAAACGTTGTCACAAAAAAAATGCCTCGCACTCGGCCTGCATATACTATTTGGGGCCGGTATTCTTATGTCACAGCAGGCATGTCAACTCAGTGTCTCCACAACAACCATTAAATTGAGCGAAATATAGGGAGAATAAGTTGCCAGGGCAGTTTGGCCACCGTAGAGTTCCTTTGGACCGCGCAGGGGGCAATGACATCCTAACAGCGGACTCTCACCCCTCTGGCCATTAATCCTATTTTTGATGAATTCTATTATATTATATTTCAGTCCATACCATGGTATGGATGAAATATATTGTGTTCTCTCATGTTTCTTCTCCTCCTTCTTCTTCTCCTCCTCCTGCCAAACAGTAAAATGGATTCAACTCTGTCATTTGTCAGCCAAATGACTTCAAATTTGGCATGGAGGTAGAGTGGGCCAATACCCCCATGCGTTTTTTTTTCATTTTTTTGATACATGCCTTTGAAAAATTTTTATGAAGGTTTTTTGGGGCATTTTTCGCCAAAAAATGGATTTTTGGATTTGCATACCTGTGATAAGATTAGTAAAGCTTTCGAGATTCAATGTGCTTGTTCTTGCATCTTTGTTCTCAATTACATAGCTACTATATAATTCATTTACACTGGGGTAAGTTTGGAATAGTCCACTTTTGCGTGGGAGGGAGATGGACTGAAATATGCTGTATTTGCTCCCAAGCAAATGTAGGCCTCTCTAGTCTAACTGTTATATCTGTTGTGGAGGCCACATGCCAACCGCGCACGCCCCCACAACAAATATCACAAACAGACACTTTTTATTCCTTATTTGTCCCGCACCGTCGCCAACCTTCCACTCTTCATTTTCCATCATTGTTCAGACGGAAGTTTGGTAACGTCAATAGATAGCGACTCAACAATGAGCTCATTAGTGAATCCGATGATTGACATAATCCGAAGTTTTCTTGATCAAAACAACAGTGTAAAACGTGAGAATCCCGGTTGATGACGTTATCATTTTACCGTTGGTTCTGGTGAAGAGAGAGAGAGAGAGAGAGAGAGAGAGAGAGAGATGTGGATGGCATATGAACGCCCACGAGTCATTAGTCACTTGCATTAAATGTCGGCGATCTATTGACGTCAGGAATCAGACCTCGTGACCATAATCTTTTTGGTGCGCTGTTTTCTGGTCTTTCCACACCGGAAGGCCTGTTTATGATAAGTAAGTACGTATAAAACTCGCCATCGGCTAAACGTCGGCACCACACCGTCGCCGCTTCACTCACCTGACGCCGCGCTCGACAAACTTCGCCGCACCGCAGAGATGGCATCCCACCTGGCCCTGGCCCTGCTCCTCGGGCTCGTCATCGCCGTGCTCCCCGGTAAGTCACGCGCAGTCTTCAGGCAGATTTATTGTTTTGTCTGTGCAGCTTTCAGATGGTTCGATTCCTGACACTTTTCCTCACTCTACCCAGGTGTAAAGTGCGTACCTGATTTTGGTTTTGGAGGTAAAAGGCGGCGGAAGGAGAGGAATGGACCCCGCGCCTTGCAATGCCCTTCCCTACTAGACACAGTGGATTAAGAGCCCACCTCTAAAAAGTTATAGGACTACCTTTACCTTCTTTTCGGCAACGTTTAGAGGTACTGGTTATCGAAACACAAGGGAAAGCCTTGGCCCTTGAGGTGGAAAAGATATATACTGTGGTCGGTATAATAGCGGACAGCGTTAGGTCGAAGATAGCAGTTCTTGAAATCCAATATGCGACCCGTGCCGTACCGCCACCACTAAATCATACCATAGAAGATCTGTCAATCAGTTTTCTGTTCTTCTTCACGCCTCACTTAGTGTCACAGGTCGCGGTGCAAGTACTAGTATATACGTGAATATTCAGCTTCCTCCTGCTTCTTGGTCAGCTTCTTGGCA